CCCCTGTGCTTGTAGCTGTGCTTGCGCTGCTGAACACAAAGGTGCGCTCATTCTTCTCCGTGTGGGACGTGGCCGAAGCCTTTCCTCTGGGCAGAGTCCGCAGCATCTCCGCTGCCCTGCCCGCGTGTGTCAGCCGGGCCGCGCTCTGCTCCGCTCCGCCCAACCAGCGGTGTGCCCCCAGCTCGGGGCTCACCCCTCCCGCCGCGGCCCGCCCAGCTCCGGGGCCGGCCTACGCCCGTCGGGGATCAGCGCACCGGGCCGGAACGAGGGACGCGGGCACCGCCGGGCGAGCAGCGCTGCCGGCGGGGTGATGGGGGGCTCCGCGGGGCTAAACCCTGACTCTGTGTCTGTTCCAGGTGCCCCGGGCCCCCCGAGGAGCCCCCCTGGCGCCCGGCTCTGGCTGCTCCCGCTGCTGCTGCTGCTGCTGGCTGGCACCCAGCCCGTGGCGCTGGCGGCCGGCGGCCACGGTCAGTAGCGACGCGAGGACAGGCTCCCCGGGAGTGCCCGGAGGTGGGGTGGGCAGGGCTGGGGAGAGGAATCGGAGCGGGGAAGGCGGTGCTGCAGCCGCGGGTCTCGGTGCGCCGAGGTCCTGGCTGTGCAGTCCCGGGAGAGGGAAGGAGCGGGGCTGTTGTCTGAGCAACAGACGGAAGGGGAACGCGGCTCTGGTTTCCAGTTTGACTCCCAGACGCAGACAGATGGCATGATTTGGCTGTGGCTTTGGAGGTGACTGCATGCAATGGGCCTTTAATGTATTTTCTTCTTCAGTTCCTCAGGCTTTTTTTAGTTTAAGGGCTGCCTCTGAAAACATTGATCCAAACTTTTGTTTATGCTAAATAACGTTTTACGCAGCAGTTTATTCTAGAAAGCTTGCAGACATACTTAAAGATTTAACACTACTTACGTTTTAAGCCACTCTGCTGCAACGGTGCCATTAGGTGCACTTAGGGAGGCTTTTGAGTCTGCCCCAAAGCCCTTTTCTGTTTGGGTCTGCCCAGAGCCCTTTCCCTTTGGCTTACTGGATGGCAGGGGTGCATGCGCTCCTCCTCAGCATGGATCATCCATCCCCCAAGATGTCTGTGCAGGAGGAGGGGGTAATATGGACCCCAGATTGCTGGGGTCCTCCTGGAGCTGGGTCCTTCCTCTTCTCTCCTTGTTTGCTCCCCTCACATTATCCCATCAGTAATCTGCTGAACAGCTCATTGATCTCTCAGGGGCTTTATGAACAGGGCTCTTGCAATGACTGTTGGTTGCTTGGAATGAAAGATGCAGTGAAGATGCAAAATGCTGCTTTTGCTATGGCATGTCCCTGAGTTATCTGCTGCCATCTGGTCGTAAGAGTCACATTTTGTAGTTTCTAAGTAATACATTATATTTCAGGGATGAATTATAGCCATAAATTAACAGAATACTTCACTAACATGATTACAATATGCGAGAAACCCCTGGACTGTAAGTCACAGCTACTTGCACCTGATAACCTTGAGGCAAATAAAAGTAAATACCTGAAGCTTCTGAAATGTGCTGGGCTGGGATCCACCTCTAGGAAGCAGAAGAACATTCCTTAAAATCTCCTCTTAGAAATGAAAGTGAGGCTGCAGACACATTCCAGGGGTCCCAGGACGTGACCTCCAGCCTTTAGCTGTTACGTCACAATATTAACTGTTTCAAATACTTTTGGCAAGGTGCAGTTGTGTTTGGGGTTCCTTTGTCCCTTCTGATTATTGGAGCTTTCTTATGTGTTTGCAGCCCTACTCCTCATCAAGTCCCAGCCTACTTATGTTGCCTTTAATTGTTTTATTGATCAGTTCTCAGAGCGTAAATTCAACCTTCAGGCTCAGCCTGGATGTGGGAGAGCTGAGTATGGCTCCAGAGTCCCAGTTCTCCCATACGAGCACCTTCTTGTCCATAAGGTGAAGCTGCTGTGGCCTCAGAGCAGGCGCAGCTTAACCCTGTTACAGCAGGCTGATGACTTTAATCAGCAGGCAGAAACCAGAGGCATCACCTAGCAAGCAAAACCGAGGCTTTCGTTTAAACCTGACCTGTATCTGTTGGAAACCTGGAGGCTGTGCTGGGCCCTGGGGCTGGACCCAAAATGCAAATGGTCCAGAAAGAATGTAAACATTTTCTTGCTTAGTCTCATATCAAAAAGGCTTTTGTAGTCTTTAATAGGATAATTATTTTTCTTAATGTTTTCCAGACAATTTCTATGAAATAGTACATACTCCTTTGGTGAGTGAAGTTTTTTAGTTATCTGGAGTGTCTGTATAAGTAACAGAGATAGTTTTCCTGAGAATTACAAAGAAAAAATAGTTTCAATTTAAATTCACCAATAATTGTTATTATACTATAGCATTTAAACCCCTATCTATTGCGAATCTATTGACTTGACCTGTCAAAACATTCAGTGAGTTTGTCAAAGCAGCGCAGGGGCCTGGACTGTATCCAGGGCTACAGCAGAACTCTGGTAAATGTGTGTACTTATATATATATATTAAAGAAAGCTATTGGGGTTCTTCACTGTTTGTTTAATAGGTTTCACTGTATTTATGATTATTCCAGAACACAGCCTGAATCCCAACACTTCTTTGTGGGATATGGATCATGAAAGACTGTTTCACAGTAAGACAACCCTTCCTGAGACTCTGGGCTCCTCTAGCCCGCTCAGGAGCCACTCTCTCCTGAGCCATGAGGGAAGGAAGAGCTTAACTCAGAACCTGGGCCAGAAACCACAAGAAAAGCAGCTGTCCTGTGACATGCTCCTTAAACTTTCCAGATATATTTTAAAGGATACCTTTGGATCTAGCTTGGCCTGGAATCTTTTTAGGTTTTATAACTGTGATCGAGAAGTTAACCTGCCCAAAATCCGTACTGGTCCTCTCAAGGTGGCCCAGCACAAGGTGAAGCCGTTCTTGCTGCACAGAGTGCTGCAGCTCCTCAGGAATATGGGAGTGTTATCCAAAGCTCAGCAGTCGAAGGCCTTCAGTCTGCTCAAGAAGCAAATGCTTAACCCAAGTAAAGCACTGTTGAAGCCTGAGGAGGAACAAAGTGGTAGGTATATAAGGAGGAGACATGGTTTTGGTATCTCAAATACTTTGTAATGAAGGTTGAGCAGAGCCACAGGGTCAGGCTCTGTGCTGCCAGTGCGAGGGGTGGATGTCACTGCGTGCAATTGGGTACGTAGTTGTCCTGGGTCGTGCCAGAAGCTGGCACTCAACGTTCAGGCTGAGCTAGAGCCAGGCTCAGCCCAAAGCAGAAGTTCTGGGATGGGGCGGGTTGGAATAAGTTGCTGCCTGCAGAGGAGGGCATGCTAGATGAGGGCTGGTATGGAGTTGTGTTAGACAGTCTGTGGGGATCAATACAGGCACTAAAAGCCACGTTGTGGTATCATGGTGCCCAGAGCATGGCTGTGATGCAGTGGGGGTGTGTTGTCCATGGCTCCTCCATCTCCAGATGGAAGCAGGTGTGCTGCATCCCCTTCTCCGGGCTGGTGCTTCTCTGTGGAAACACAGCTGCGGTGTGCAGAAAAGGTGAAGGGAATTTGAAAGAACAAGTAGGGAATGCTGGGATCCGTGGCTGGGAGGAGAAGGAAAACCAGATGAGAGTCATTAATTAACTGAAGTAGGAGCTCCGGCAGGCGGCGTGGCCTCGAGGGGCCGGCAGCGGCTGTGCAAGTGCGACCCCTCCCGGGCGGCCGCGGTACCGCACGGGGAGGCCGCGGAGCGCCCGTCGCTGCGCGTTCCCCGTTTTCCCCGGGGACAGGCGGGGTGCGCTCCGGAACGGGCGTCCGGGCAGCGTGGTCTGAGCTGGGACTGGCCCTGGCCGTGGCCCTGCTGCGGGCGCCCCGGGGTCATCCCCTGAAGCCTCTAGCTCCGTGGGAACGGGCGTTGCCCAGGGGATGCTGACTCCGCTCCTCCTTCCTTTCTCTAAGTAGCAAGAAGGAAACGGGAAACTGTTTAGCGAGGGAGTGTGCCCAGGAAAATCATTTACAAAGGAGGACCCGTCCTCTCTATGCATTCATGTGCGAGAGCTGTTTCTCCTGGAAGGGGCGGCTGTGCTTGGAAGCCAGACCCGGAGCTGCCTTGTTTTCTGCTATTTTGCCTTAAAACGGATCCTCGGCAGTCATTGATCCTTGTGACTGAGCGGTTTGGTCGTGTTTGTAAGCAAAGCACCACAGTTACTGAGACACGGGGTGGGAGAGGTCACCTCATGCCTGACAGCCCCTTTCAGAAAATGACCCAATTTTGTTTTTTAGAACGGTGAACTTCAGTTTATAACCCACAATAACGCGTGAAGGAGGGGTTGGGTTGATTATTTTTGTGAGGGAGTGTTTAACAGCTGTTTGCTTGAGGCAGGATTAGTCAGGATTTCCCACTTGCAGGTGTGAGGATGTTTGGGAATGTTCTTGTGCTGTGGATGCATCCTGTAGCAGAGCGTGGTGGTGTGAGCTTCAAACAGACAGCGTATGCTTCAAACTAGTGCTGCTGTGAAATAGAAATCATCTTGCAACGTGCAATCTGGAAAAGAGCGGAAGGAGAACAGTCTAGCACCCGAGCATCACTCTACAGATAGATGTTTCTGTGTTTTCCTTAAACAGACACAGGAATCTTCAGAAAAGCAGGATGATGTGGCCAGTCTCATTGACTCTTAAGTCTTCTTTCTCAGGCCCCTGAACACTTGATACAATGGGAAATAGCACTGAAATAATTCTCCTGAACGTAGTTCTTTCAGGAAAAGAGTCCAACCAGTGTATTTCTGTGGATTTTGAGGCTAAAGACAGAAAGTGGTTTAAACAGTGCTCATACCTCAAAAAATGTGGAGTTCTTGTTCAGGAAAGCCCGATGTAAAGAGGAGCGGCTTTGGCTTCACTGATCATTTCACAAGGCCAGCGCAACGCTTAGTATGAACCAAAGCCCGTGTTATGTTTATTTCCACTATTTCTATGTCAGATTAATTGTTGCCTTTTATTTACATTGCAAGTCCATGAAATCTTTTGCACAAAATACTCCAATTTGTCTTTTCGTGCCTGAAATTTCCAGTGGTAGATAAAACTTTCTGCCTCCTATACCTCTTGATAACAGCTCCACTTTCCCATGACCTGCGTTCATATGTGTCATATTCAGATAAGAATGAGGCATGATGCTGAGTAAGGCCGCTTTTTTTGGAAGGAAAATGACAAAAGCTATTTGAGACAGGAATAGAAGTGCCAGCATTAAATGATGGATGAACAGCCGGCAGCCGAGGTGGCAGCTCTGATGTTTCCCTGTATTTATGGAGTATTGAAATGAGGGAGGGTTATCTATCTGATGTGTTTCTCTGGGCTGGATGCTTATCTTCACATTCAGCGATGCTCTGGCTCACAGGACAGGGTGTAAGAGGGTGAATTGGTCTTATTTAACATAAGTGAACGTTGCCCCTCTCTGGAGCTGTTGTATGGAGTGTGGGGCATGGCTGTGCCCCTCACCCACCTCCTGCTTCCAGTCTGTTCCCATATTTTGTCTGACAGCACTTGCTCCTTATTAACATGACTATAGGCTCTTTGTGCCCTCTGTCAGAAGAAATCCTGCACCAGAATAAATTTCAGGGGTGACAGATTGGAGCAGTTTGGCCAGATGATGGCACACAAATGTCTCTGAGATTGGTGCCTGTGGGTTTGCACCCCTTTGGCTTTGATGCTGGGCAGGAGCAGTAGCTGGCATTGTCACCTGACCACTTCTGGCCTTATCCTCTCTGGATGTGGGGCTCTGGAGCTGAGATGAAGGGTTCTGTGTAGACTCTGGAGGGAGAACGGCACTTACCTGTCTTTATGTGTCACCTGGAAGCTCAGCTGTGCTGTATGGTATATTCTGGTTCATGGAAAACAAACCAGTGTCTGATGGTCCTTCTGTGTGCAGTGCCATGTCTTCTGAGACTGGAATCCAGACAGGAACTTGCAATAGGCAGGAATGCAGTCCCAGGTCATGTGGGTTGAATCACACGGGTTTCTTTGAGCCCATCTCTTGTCAGAGCACCTTCCAAGGCTTCCCCTCTCTCACCACAGGTTCTGACTACAGGTTGATTTGGCAGGTTGGGAGGTGAAGTAGCAGATACCCCTCTGCTCACCCATTGTCAGGGGAACTTTAGCAATGCCAGGTTACAGTGTTCTCCATAGATATGTCAGACACAGGCAGCACAGGGCAAAACACCCCCACGGGAAGGTGGCAGAAGGGCCAGATGCCTTCTAAGATGGGCCAAGGCATGCCAAGCTCCGGTGACCAGATCAGGGGCTGGGGCACCTCAGCCCCCTGCCCTTCCTGGGGGGCACCTGGCACCCCAGACACACGCTTTGTTTCGGGCTTTGAACATAGCCGGGGCTCTGCGGGTCTGCACAGAGCCTTTGGGCAGAGGCTCGCCCGTCATCCTGGGGCATCCGGTGGGGACCCCGGGGGCTTAGAGCAGGGGAAGACGTTTGGTTGCGGGCAGCAGTACTCCCCCGGGCATGGGACCGCCGGTTGCAGATATACGTCCAGGCTGGAGGGATCGTCCCCGGCTGGGAGGAGCCAGCAGCTCCGCCGCTGTAAACAGTGCGGGCACCTCCAGCGGTTGGGAGATGGATATAAAAAGGGAAACGGAGGGGAGGCAGCCGGAGCGGAGTAGCGGGAGGTGCCTGCGTCTGCCTGCCGCTGCCCGCCCCTGCCTCCTCCGCCCGGGAGCCCGGCAGCACGGTCAGGAGCTTCCGAGAGGCGGCGAACAAAGTTCGAGGCTCGGCGCTGCCGGGGATAGGTAAGCGGTCTTTGCAGCTCAAGTTTGAAACTCGATGTTGTCTCTCGTCCATCTGCCGCTGGGGTTATCTCCTCGCCGGCTCTCTGTTCTTGCTGCTGTTGTGATTGCCTCGCCGTGTCTGGGGTTGTATGGAGCCGGGGAGTGGGGGGTGTTGGTTTTGATCTTGCTACTTTAATCGGAGAGGAGAAAAGAGCACAAAAATCCCAAAACACATCAAAAGCAAAATGTGCCTTTGCGCCGGCCCCGTGCGAATCCGCGGGAAGGAGCCGGCGCGGCGCCGCACGTGTTGCGGCGGGGATGCCCGCGGCTATGGGCGGCAGGTAGCTGCTGCGGGGGCTCCCGGGACACGGGGAGCACCGGGGAGCAGCTGCTCCTCCTGCCCTCTGCGCCGGAACCGGACCTGGAGCCGGTCCCGGTCTCGGCGCCGCCGCGGGACGTATCGGGGAGCAGCGAGCGACGGCAGCGCATCAGGTTGGTACCGCGCCCCTCCGCGCCTTTCCGCGCCCTGCCGCGCCCCGCCGCTGCCGCCCGTCTCTTACAGGTACCTGTCCGGAGGCCGACCCCCACCTCGCCCCGTGGCGACCCAGCTCCGACACCAACCGCGCCGTCGTGGTGGGCCAGGGGGCGGCTCTGCGCCTGGAGACTTCCGCTGCCTTCCATTCCCTCGTCATCCGCGACGGAGGTAAGCGGGGCCGCCGGAGCCCGGGCGGGCGGCCGGGCTGTGGCTGCCGGTGCGTGGCACCTCCCGGCCCCGGCCATGCGCGCCCTGAGCCCCTCTCCCTCTCTCTTCCCTCGCCCGCAGGGATGCTGGTGTTCGCCGACTGTCCCCGCGGGCCGCCCATCACCCTGCGAGCCCGCTACATCCTCATCCACGACGGCGGGGAGCTGCACATCGGCTCAGATCGCTGCCCTTACGGCTCGCGAGCGACTATCTCATTGTACGGGCGGGCCACCGACGGGGCGGCCGTGGAGGGCTTCGGGCAGAAGTTCCTGGGCGTGGGGCGCGGGGGCGTCCTGGAGCTGCACGGCCGGCGGCCTCGCTCCTGGACCCTCCTGGACAAAACGCTGCACCCCGGCGGGCTCCGTTACGGCCCCTACTTCTCCGAGAGGCGGTGGGGCAGCCGCGGGCTCAACCTCCGCATCTTGGACGCCGGCACGGCGCGGGTGCTTGCTGCGGCGCGCTTCGACACGCACCTGCGGCACGGCGAGTGCGGGCGGCTGCGCTCCTTCCTGGCCATGCAGCCCCCCGGCACGGTGGTGGCGGCCGCCGTGGGGGACTCTGCCGCCCGCAGCCTCACGCTGGAGACGCGGCTGCTGCTGCGGGACCGCCTGGGCAGCGCGCACATCTCCCGCCTGCGACACAGGTAAGGGGCGGCGGGCGGGGGGGCGCGGGCCAGCGGCAACACCATGGACAGCTCCGGAGCGCCGGGGCCGCCGCTCCCGCCGCGGGGGCTCGGAGAGGGCGGGGATCGGGGGAAGGAAGGGTGAGGAGGGAAGGGACACAGTGCCCTGCGACCCGCTTCTGCTAGAGCTCCTCGGGGGTGGAGGGTTCGGGATGTCACTGACTCCTTCCGTCTCCCTCAGGGAGCCCTGGGCGCTGGTGGGTATCCTAGGAGGGGATCAGCCTTCCACAGCGGAGGATAAACGGGAGTACCACGGGAGTGGAACCACGGGGTTAGCAGTAGCCCGAAGAGAATTCCTCACTTACGATGGGATGCGGTTTACTGTTTCTGCTTTCAGTGGATGGATAAAAGGTTCAGTCTGCCCTGACAATTGCTTGTCTTCTGTTGCTTTGCTCTGCTTTTTCTGGCTGCTGTGAATCCAAACAGTGCAATGCTAATCATAGAACCACAGAATGGTTTGGGTTGGAAAGGATCTTAAAGCTCATCTAGTTCCAGCCCCCTGCCATGGGCAGCGACACCTTCCACTAGACCAGGTTGCTCAAAGTCCCATCCGACCTGTCCTTGAACACTTCCAGGGATGGGACATATGATAATACCACAGTCGTGCTTGCATAGATGTGACCAAGCTAACAACACCACTCTTGCAAAGTAAAGTTTTAGCTGCCTACAAAGAGTTACACTGGCATATTTAATATCTTGATCCCTTCTATTACACCCAGTTACCTACATAAAAATTAAATTGATATGCTCTTCCACTAATTGCATGATTGTGTCAAGTACAACTGAAAAAATAATTGATTGCTTCATTTTTCAGGGGTGCCTCATAATGGATTTAAAGTGGAAGCATCCAATGGAATAATTCTCCACTTGGTGGATGAGGTTACCAGTTGGTTACCTGGTGACCGGATCGTTGTTGCTAGTACAGATTATTCTATGCATCAGGCTGAAGAGTTTAATCTCCTTCCTTGCCCTGAATGTAAAAGTAATCAAGTGAAAATTGATGGTATGAAATATTTTTATTAAGCTACTCATTTGTGGTAAATATTTACATTGTCTTGTCTTTTACATTTTACATTTACTTGTCCTTTTAGATAGATTTTTGTCCCCTAAACACATGAACGCATACAAGAGGTGAAGCCCACGATATTATATTTGGACTTGAAAGCTTGACCAGAGGCATCAGTCTTTTGTAGAAGCCAGGGGAAGTGCTGATCTCCTCTGGGATCAGATACTAGCAACTGGGCATGTCTCTGGACTTGGTGACTGCTTAAAGTCAAAGTGCACACTTGCTTAGAACAAGGCAGTAATGAAGATGCCGTGCTCGCCCTGAATGAAGAGGTTTCTGATTTTCACAGGCAGCCCACTTTATCTTCACATTGGAGAAGTCATAGATGGCGTCGATATGAGGGCAGAGGTTGGCCTTCTGACTAGAAATATACTTATTCAAGGAGAAATGGAAGACTCCTGTTATGGACAAAATCAATGCCAGTTTTTCTCCTTCGATACATTTGGAGGACATATTAAAGTGAGTCATTATTAATGCACATGCCTGCAGGTATTTTCAGATGGTTCCTTTCCTGGTTTGTAAAACAAGCAATATAATGCATGAAACTATCATTGTGTCTGTGGGAAAAATTATACTTGTCTGTGAAGAGGGGAATCTTGCAAAACTAGCCTTGCTATGAGTCTGTTATGTTTTCTTCACTGTGTATGTGAACACATACCCTTCTCTGGGTTAGTGGGGATTCTTCAGTGGCATTGCTGTCAGTAGGGTTGGTATGAAGTTACACAGTTCATGAGATGTCACTGTAGAAATTGTGCTTTCTGCAGAGCTTCCCCCACCCTTCATGGCTCAGAGAAGTGCTGGGTATCACCCTGTTGTGCTGTCTCCTTTTGGTTGTCCCATGTGTTCTTGGTGGAGGTGCAAAGCCTTGCTATTAAAGGAGCTTTGAGTAGAATTACTTCTCTATCAGTGGAAATCAGGGAGCTGGGCAGGTCTGAACTCACTTGACAGAGATAAAGCTGCCAGGAAACAGAGCCTGGTGGTAATCACTGCCCCTTTCTGTAGCTGGCAGGAGTCCCTTGTCATACACTGCTGTTGCTAAACACTGCATATGCTGCTTGGCAGCTGGTCCTTGGCAGCCCCGGGCCCGTAGGTGTGCAGCCTCTGGCATGCTGATCCGAGCCAGAGCATGGAGCTGGCACCTCCTTCTGGGATCAGGCCCTGTGTTGCTCTGCAAGCATATTGCCTAATAAGAGAGAAAAGAGGTGGTTTTCTTTTTGCATCTGTTTCTGTTGTAATGCCTACAATGTAATCATCTACATTTGTCTCAGCAGATCCTAAGGAATTTTAGCTCTGTTCACTTGTCAGGAGTGGAATTGAAAAACATGGGGCAGCAAATCCTGGGCAGTTACCCTGTGCATTTTCACTTGGCTGAGGATGTGGATGAGAGGGGAGGATATGAACGCCCGACGTACCTTGATAACCTGGCTATCCACCACTGCTTCTCTAGGTGTGTTGCCATACATGGGACTCATGGCCTTCTGGTAGGAAACATGTTTTATTAGTACTGAGTTTATTTCTTTGCTTAGGTACCGCTAAACAGCAAGAATCATTTGTGATGCAAGGAGAAAATAGATTATTGACACAAGCCATCTTTACGCCAAGTAATGTCCCGACTTACCAACTTCATTTGACTGGTGTTCAGGTTAGGACTGTCGCTCTGGTAGCGCAGCTCTTTGAAATGAATTTCAGGTTCTTAGTATTGCCTAGTTAATATTATTAGAGGTGTGATGATATATAGTGAAATCTTTGCCATGTTATTCTGCACAGATTGTGATTATAGAAACTTTCATTTAAAATTAAAGCAATGGACTTTAGGACCTGACTGAAACAATGGGCCTTTAATTTGCAAAGGAGATAAAAAGAGACAGGAATTGTTCAAGTCAGAGCAATGTGAAATATATACAAAGATATTCACATGACAAAGGGAATGAAATACGAGAGGGACAGACCCAAATGTCTGCTTCAGTGCCAGAAAAACCCTCAGGAACTTGGCTCTGGCATAGATCCTCACAAGGGTGTTGGGGAGAGAAACTCAAAAAACCCCCTAGAAAGCCATACATGTCCCAGCTGGAAAAGAGAGATTCCTGCTCCAGTCCCAACACATCCAGTTGGTGTGTGCTCTGCAGGACCTTGAACAGTGTTTTGGTGTCTCTGGGCATTTCCTCATTCACCTGATGTGTGCTCAGGCAGAAGACACTCCCTGAACTGTCCATGACCTCCTGTGTTTTTCCTGAGAACTTCTTCTCAACCTAGGACATGAAGCTGTGTAAGACACGAGTTAGAGGTGCTCAGGTGGAACCCTTGTGTGAAAGGGTCCCTCCAAAAGGATGTATTCACAAAAATGTGATGCTGGACTTATGTAACTGGGACATGGACAGCCCAGTCCCAGTTTTCATGTGTCCTAAATTGCATTTGTATTGTCCAGATCACTCAAAATTATTGCTTGACTTCTTATATATATGGTTTGCTCTGGCTGTAGAGACTGCTTTTGTGTACAAAACCTTTAGGTGGCAGGAGAATTGCCCAGTGTGTGTGGATGTAGTTTAACTCCCTCTCTCCTCCCATTGGTATTAAACCTCTGTAATTAAAAGAATCTGCCAGGGATGAAAAATTAAGCCTTATGCTAATGTTGGTTCTGAGAAGAATGGTATATGGTCTTGGTCTTTATCAAAAGTGAGATTGTCAAGGGTTTATCTGGATGTGTGGGATGCAGTAGCTGTGAGATCAAGAATCCAAGAGTGAGATTCAGCCCCCCAGCATGTGACCACTGAGGGCTTTGAGTCCATAAATCAATGAACAGGTTTTATTGTAAAGGTTAAATATGTGATCCTTTGGAAGAATCATGTGGTTTCAATACAGCCATTAAGATAAAGAGTAATTAAAATGTAATTAAAAGCCTTGCTTTAAAATAAATTACAATAAATTGCAATTCCAGAGAAGAGTATGTGTATCGGAGCCTGGCAGTTAAATAACGTAGATGGGTACCAGATTTAGCATCACATTATGAAACTTCATCCCTTGAAGCAACATAAACCAGATAGGCGGTTTTATCTCGCTCCTGTCCTGAGGGTTTAGAGGGTGTAATTTTAGACATAGGTTGCTAGACTGCTGTGGTTTGTGCTGTGCTGTGTTCTGGTCAAACAGTGGTGTCTGCAAGGCCCTTCTCCCATCTGCTGCTCCTATGTGCCAGGTTTGCATTGCGGTGCAGCAGCTTGGGTTACCCATCGCGGTGGGAAGCAGGCTGTGACATGCATCTCACTGCCCTGGCACACGTCAGACGTACACCAACTACTGTAGTCCTTCATGTCTAATGTTGCAGTGCATAAAGGTCACTCATATTGTGTTGCTGAACTATTTATAATGCAGTGTGTAGGGTTACCTCAGTCATCCAGTGTTGGACACACCGGTGGGGTTGTCACCTGTGTTGTGGACAGTGTTTCATGCTGTCACATACAGTAATATGCCACTGTCACAGTGCCACAGGTGGGCTTGTTTCCAAGCATGTAGTTCCTAGCTGTGATGTGCCAGAATTGATCAGTTATTGGGGTTTTGATGTAATGGCATCAAATGGCCCTTATCTTTCATTGAAACGTACGTGATCTTTAAATTACATGAGTTCTGATGTATCTGATTCTGAGTGATCAATACAGTTTCATGTATTTAAGTATTCAGAGCTGCCATGCAATTACAAAGTTGTGATTAGTCGTATTAATCCAAGCTAAAACCTGGTTTTGGATACAAAGCTGGTTTTTGACGCAGCTGTCTGAAGCTCAGATTAGCCAAATTTCAGCTAAATTCAGCAGGATGAAACTCTACAATTGAAATGCTGTCTGAAACAGCGGGCAGTTTGTTGTTACAGTTTCTTTCCAAAAATAGTCTTCTGTGGCCTCCTTAGCAGCTTCTGCCTGTCTTTTGAAAGGGTTGAAGTAGCCAGTCTGGCTGTTCTTAGCAGCTGGCAAGGACACTTGCATTTTTATTTAAGTCCATTTCCTATCTGTATTTCCAAGCTGGCACGGACATGTTCAGCATCGCTGCATCTAGGTTCCGTTAACCTCCTTGTAACTCATTTCAAGCCACTGTACCTATATGCCGGGTCTCAGTGGATTTCCCAAGCTATATGAGTTAGCAGCTGGGTACCTGGCTGTGTTGTGTGCTATTTTTAACTCTCTCTTGCACACTTCATCCAGGCAGAAACAAGAGCAGCAGATGACAAATTTGAGGGGTGACTGCCAGGAAAACAATGAAATCCAGTAGAGATATACCTATGGGAACTATACCATTTGTGACTCCAGATGTTATGTACAGTAGCAGCCTATTAAGGGGAAATCCCAGGATATTAATCTGGATTTCATTCAAGTATCCCTCAAGTATACAGAAATAACCATGTAGGTTAATATTAATTAATCTTGCAGTCTTACACAGACACAGCTCTGACGTCAACAGGATTTTTGTGTGCCTGAAGAGTGAATAAATATGCTGACAGGGATTATTTGAGTACAAAGTTAAGGTTTCAGTAAGATTTAGTAACAAATTGCTAGTATTTTAACTAGCCTGATTTGGTATTTACATTTAAAAGAAGGATTTCTGAATTTTTGTCTTCATAAGACTGTACATCAAAGGAGGCTTGTGCTAAGTCCTCTTGGTCAAATTAGGGTTTAATGCAATATCCCTCTGCATGTCAATTAATATTAAATAGAGTGAAACAGTAAAATACCATCTCTGCACAAGCTGTCCATTACACGAATGAAGCGGTCATGCACCTTCTGAGAGTGGAGAAAGAACAGAAATATCTTTAATATAGACTACTTCACATGGTGCATTTTAAAGACTTTATTTTATTTGGGAAGTGTTGCAGCTCATGAAAATGTCTTCATTACCATCCTAACTTGTTGGTTTATCATGCAAGATACACTTGTCTTTATGCAGATATATACTCCATGACGCTGAACCAAGTATTATTTCTTGGAGCTGAAGACAGCTTTATATCCAGTATTTTGCAGTTTTGCTTTAATTATGCATGTGGTCTTTCCCTGAATAATTTTAATAGCAGCTTCACTGTATAAGAAGGTCAGTCCAGAGTTATGCAGACTGGGTGTAGTCTGAGTTAGCTCCAGGACTGCTGCCTATGCACTGCTTGCTGTGCAGAGGGGTGGCAAAACCACTCCATGAACATTTTGGGCATTTATTGATAAGCAAAGCACATCAGTTATGGCGCCTGCTGTTGTTAGCATTATGGTTGATGGCCTGTATACTTTTTCCCAGGTCAAAGACACCATTGGCTATGACACTCTGGGGCACTGTTTCTTCCTGGAAGATGGGACAGAGCAGCGCAATACATTCTATCACAACTTGGGCCTCCTCACAAAGCCAGGGACAATCTTGCCTTCAGATCGCAGTGAGGCAATGTGCCTCGCCATCCGTAGCAAAGTCTACGGAGATTACGTTCCTGTGCCGAGCGCTGACTGCATGTAAGTGCTCTGGAAGCTGTAATCAGGCTTTATATTTTATAGCTGGGTCCTAAAGAATGCTGGGGTGAAACTTTTGAAAGGGGCTGTTTGATAGTAAATGAAAAATTGTAGCTTTTTCTACCATTTCTCATTTTAAAATGATTTAGCTACTTGACTGTGTTTTGCTTGCGACGGTATCTTTTAACACCTGCATGAATCCTAAAGAAGGAATATTTGCTGCTGGTTATTCCTGTCTCTGTTTCCTTAGAATCATAAATATATTAGAGCTCTTTGCTCGTTTCTGAACCCCTTTCAACTGCTTTTAAGTTGGATGTTGAACACTCCATGAAATCTGTCTGAAAAATCAAATTGCCTCAGCGCTGGTACAGGCTGTCAAAAACATCACTTACCACAAAGGGAGTTTTTGCCTTATTTCACCAGGGCTGAATTGAGGCTGGGGCATCTAGAGTAAATTGCTCAATAGTACATGAGTCCATGAATATCTAGAGTACCTCAGGAGATGCAGTGAGAATGCACAGATTAGCCTAAATTACAATGAGCGTAATTCAACAATAAACAATAGCTCGATATAGCTGATCAAAGTAAGCTTCTGTTTTGGAGACTGATGAGCTAGAACACAGGCACTCAGGGACCTAGGCTAGTGTTTGCAAGCAAGAACCCACTTTAGCCAAGGAAATTTGTAATTTTACCTTTTCTGGAAAAGGATGCAGTAGCCAAACAAATTATTCTAATTTGTGTAAACAATCCCACTTAATTACCATTATTGTCACTGAAATGCTAGGGTTGCTGGTATGGTTAATACAGGTTTATTTTGCATGTATTTCGTGATCTGTTAATGCAAAGGAGTGTGGGTTCTTGATTACATAATGATTATTGTGGATAAACCACAATTTAGATCTGCTTAGAATGATCAAATTAATTGGTACAGTCATGAGAAAAGTTTACAGTGTTTTTACATGTGGTCATTATTATTGCAAAAGATGTTATCCAATGAAGCAAGTCAACAGATGACAGTTTTCGTAACTATATCTGGCTTCTGTTTCTGCCACTGCTCAACCTCCTTATGTAGCAAAAAATCCTTATTTGAGCAAACATCAAAATAATACATCCTTAATCTTCTACTTAACTAGCCATTTGTGGTTTGCATGGACATTTGTTTTGTTTTCCAAGTAGAAGCTTCCTAAGAATCCCATACCTCCTGCCATTGCCCCTCAAGTTCCAAAACACAAACCAGAAGTTCACTTTGCAGCCATTGTACGAAGCTGTTTAACTTAAAAAAACAAAAATAATAATAATAATTAAAAAAAAGATATTGTGCTTCCTTCAACTGCATTTAACAGAGCATGGATTTTGTCTTAACAGTCCCATATAATTTACAGAAGGTTCAGCATGTGGCTCCAGAAATGAACATATCTGACAGTACTAGATGATTCCTTTTCCTTAAAGAGTATCATTAAAAGGTTGTGTGGAGTTTTAAAGTCAATAGGAGAGTTGTGGCTCAAGTCCAGTGCAGTGCTATGAAAATGTATCCCTTCCTGTTTGGTAACTGCTTAGGATCATTTTGATTTTGATTTTTTAGGGCTGTCAGCACTTTCTGGATCGCAAATCCAAACAACAACTTAATAGAGAATGCAGCAGCTGGTGCTCAGGTAAAATCATTTAATGGCAAGAGCTATGCTTTGCCTCTGGTTCCCATATATTCTACATTTATTGATGTCATTAGCATGGGGGCAATGACTTTTTAGTAAGCCATTGTAAAATTGGGATATGTATTTCTTCAACCTTTGTTTCTGTTAAGAACAAGTATTTGCCTGCAGTTCTCACACTGATTTCTTTCACCATTGTGGCTGGGAATGGTGTGTGATGTCTCTTAGCAAATGTTGATTTTTATTAGTAGTTAATAGTTAGAAGCCCAATAAAATTTTATATGTGTATTTATAAATATATATTCTCTCCTTTTTTTATCTTTGACGTTTCTGCAAATCATGTTTGTTTAATGTGCCTGTATGGAGAAGGTTATATTTTCTAATAAACCATCTGCATTTCACCCACAATATAAGCATTTTTAAAACCCAAGGACCCACTGTGCATGCCAAAGGATTAGCTGGGAGGTTTAAGAGTATGGGCTAGTATGTGTCCCCTGGGATTTGCATGTTTGGCAGGCTCAGGTCAGAAGTCTGGACAGCACAGTGGAAACCCTAAATCCCCAGTATAACCTGTGTCATTAATTGCAGTGTCCCATTTCTCAGACCTTCCTTTGTCTTTTAGGATGTTGGGATATGGTACATCTTTCACCGGGTTCCCACTGGACAGTCTGAGGGGCAATATCCAGAGGGACAGGCTGAATATACCCCCTTGGGAGTATTTTACAACAACAGAGTCCACTCCAATTTCAAGGCATGTGGATGGGGTTTTTTATGTTTCTATCAATATAGTTGTATGACCTGGGGATGACTGTGTGTGGTGCTCTGAAATCAGGTGGTCATGGGTGTCTTACATTTTCATAAAGTTCTTTTAACACTATATCAAGACAGCCAACTTTTGGGGGTGATGCTCTTTCTAATGAGCAAAGAGGGAGCTGAGCAGAATGGAGGTCCTGTTTCAGGCACTTCAGTTGGTGCCTGTGCTAGAGGGGATGAGCCCAGGCCGTGGGTACACCTACAACTAAGTGAGATTCAAGGAATGACAAACAGGACACTGAGCACTGCTGTTGGCCACAGTGGTACAAGGGCATAGGGGGATGAGCAGAAGCCGTTTGTGCCAGGGACTGCTCATCACCTTTGAAAAATAAGGCCTAAAATTCAAGAGTAATTCCAAGAAAAACACTTTCTCCCCCAAATACACTGTTGACATGAAAATGTAACCTGTAAGCTGTAAAGAGCATTTTAACTTATTTCTCAGGATTCTAGATTGAAATCAGTGCTGTTCTGTGTCATGTATATTTTACATTTTGGTCCGTGACAGCTGCTGCTTTGCCCTAAGTCTTGACGTTGGCTACATCGGCTCATGTTCTCTTTTGACTGTCAGGGGACTTGTCACTCTTCATTTAAAATCTTGCTTCTTAACAACACTCTTTTTCCACAAAATTATCAAGAGCTTGGCAGAGTCCCTTATAGCTTTCTGCAAGAGAGAGGGAGAGAGTGGGAGTTCAGTGCCTTGCTTTGGGTCAGAAGACAGCCCACAATGCTGATGCATAACATATGGCAGGCCGGGCTCTGTCCTGACTTCAGCGTGCTACATCCTGTGCTAATGTCATGCTGAGCAGTGCCAAGTGACACCTAAAGCGAAGATAAAACCCAGGCTGCAGGGGTTGACTGTGTTCTCATGCACTGGCTGCCCATGTTCTTTGGTAAAAATCTGAGATCTTGGGTTTCTATTCAGTGATCTGTTAAAATAATTGGAGTCGCGTGTGTTTTCAGGCCGGTTTGTTTATTGGAAAAGGAGTAAAGACAACGAGAGCCAACGCTGAAGATCCCAGAGAGTATCTCACTGTCGATAATGCCAGGTAAGCACATGCTGTATGGTTAAGTAGTTTGGATCCTTGTATTGCTTCTTGGCTTCTGCACTGTATTTAGCAGATCATTAGAGCCTCATTACGGCTGGAGCATCTGAAGAAAACACACAAGCTATCTCTGATGTGCAGAGGCAAATATTTCATAGCTATGCACTTAACTGTTTGTGTTATTGTGGATCAAAAAATGATACACATACACTTGGGGTTATGAGGACTAAGCAGTGAAGTATGTGGAAGGGGATCCAGATCCCATTAGTCCATTAGCGGGTTTGTAATCACCAACATTTCTTATTAATTACTTAAAAGAACTTACATCTGAATGATGATGTAAGAGACTGCTGAGTCTGGTCTAGGATTAATGAGGAAAGTCAAGTAGCCTCAGAGCTTTTTGTCAGCTGCTTTAAAATCTCTGAACTCCATTTCACAGAGCAGAAGCAGGTAAATTAAGGCCATTTCCTCGCTTGCTGCAGTCCTATAGGTCTGTGTGAGGAGGCTGTGGCAGAAATTGGGCCCTGCTCCTGTTTCAGCTTTGCCATTTTTCCTCCTCCATCATCCCATATCAATGTCACATACCATGCTCCCGTATGGCTGAAAGGGTCACTTTGTGTCCCTTTGTGAGACTTCCCCACCAGGGTCATCCCCTTGGGCACCAAGGAGACACATTCCCTAGTACAGCAGCTGGAAGAAGTAGGAGGTGAGGGCAGACTCAGAAAAAGCAATGGTGATATTTTCCGAAACACAGCACAAATCTACCATTAACAGCCAGCATGGCAAGAAATAGCCGGCAAGTAATTGAGAAGCTCCCAGTTCCCAGGGCGAATCCTATTTTCATATCATAGCTTCTCTTTCAGCAGACACAGAAGCATACGGATGTCTGGTCTGTACATGCAAGGAAAGCAGCTTCAATTACTCCATTATCTTTGCTGAATGAGATTCTTGAAAGTGCCTAATTGATTTTCTAGCATCAACCCAGGGATTCTCAATGGACCCTGTAAAGACAATTACAAAAGGACCCAAGTGACTTTGGAAGAATGTTTTCTATGCCTCTAAAATCACACTGAATCAAATTAGGGAGTAGATGCGGTGCTGTTGAAGTCTAGTGAGAAATCACTTGATTCACCTTTGTGAATGCTTGTTTTCTCTTTTGTACCAAGGCACAGAAATGAAACCAAGCTAATAGCCTGACTCTCATCCAGGGCATATCACCTCTTTATGCCCATCACACTGATGTGTGGAAGCCAGACAAGGTCTGCCAGGCACAACCTCCCCTGTCTGAGGCTGATTCGTATGTCTCTTGTGCCGCATTAACTAAGCTCCTTGCTTCAGGTTTCGCCCACATCAAGATGCTGATCCTGAAAAGCCGCGAGTTCCTGCCGTGATTGATGGTCTTATTGCTTTTAAAAATAATGACCATGGGGCCTGGGCTAGGGGTGGCGACATTATATTCTGCAACTCAGGGTAGGTTACTTTAACTGTGTGTTAAATCGTTACCCTCCTGGCAGACATAAATAGGCCTGTAGGCCAAACTCACTGCAGACATTCCCCATCATTTACACCTCTGTTTCTTCTGTCCCAGGTTTTCAGACAATGGAATTGGACTCACTCTGGCAAGGTAATTTCTTAAAATGGATCTTCTTCCCATTTTTCCCCTCAGTGTAACAGGCTGAAGAGTGGAAGCTGAGACACTCCTCTGGCAATTACTGTAAGACACAAGAAACCTCACATTTCCCTCCCAGACCACATCAAGTCTTCCCTGGGCAGCCATTAATACAAGGGGCAATTTAGCCTTTCATTCTCTTTGCCTCAGCATGTCAGGGGAATACATGGTAATTGCTGAATATTTCCTTTTGGGCGGTTGGTCCTGAACCAGTAGACTAAACATCTGGCTCTGCGTTTGGGGAGGCTTTTCTTCTGCTCTATCCCAGTGGAGCAGTATTGCTTGTAGCTTGTGTGCTGTCAGGGCAGGGTGGCTGTGATAGTCCCATGTGGTGGCACAGCAAGTCTCCTGCCTCCTCTGCTGGGGTCTGCCATGCTCCTGCTGCTACCATCTGCATCTGTTTTGCAAAAGACCTGCGAAACCAAGGCATATCCAAAGCCCACTGCAGGCAATGAGAGTCAGTGATACTTGGCTCTCGCTTCAGGGATATAGCTAAAAATCTATAAAGCAACAGCATGGAGCAATTATATCATACTGTTGGTTTTACCCAGGCTAAGTTACCTCTATTACTGATGCCTGAGTGCTAAGCTACCTCAGTATTAACCTGCTGGTTTCTAAAGAGGTTTTAAAGCATCCTTATACCAGTGAATGCATTTTTTTTTCTTTTTACAAATTAAGAAAGAAATTTTACTGTGTCTGTGATGTAATTAAGTGTTAATTCATCATTTCTGCGGTGCTGCATAGTTACCTGCTGTTTCTTTGCTTGTAGTGATGGAACTTTCCCGACAGACGAAGGCTCCAGCCTGGAGGTGACACGCTCCATTTTTGTTGGAGAAAGCAGCAATTTTGGGTCTCAGGGAGGCCAAAACAGCTACTGGGGAAAAGGGGCAAATGGAGAGTGCAGAACACTACCCAGAAACAAGTGAGTTTTTCTTCTGCCATTTCCTCTTGGTGTTAGTATAAGCTAGAAGAAAAGCCTCAGGAATGAATGTGACTACCAATAAGTAATTTATACCGGGTGTTTAAATCATTGTACAGGCCAGAAATAATAAGCATCCAAATAAACTCACTTTTCAGGCCAACAGCTTGAGAGCTTTCTCGCCTGAATGTGTTTGATTTAATTTTCTGCTTAATTTATTAGTGACTGGAGAATGGATTAGAGAATCTGAAAGATACCAAATGGCTTTTGTGTAGTACTTCAGTAGCACAGCATCGAGCTGATGGTGCAGCTCCCATACACCAAGCTATCATCCCTCCTGCCGGGTAGCTGGGCAAACATGGCTGGTTTGACAAAGGTGAAACCTTCCGTCATTATTGCATCTTATTTCTCTTTCAGTAGCTGTATGTTATTTTGTATTTTGATAGCAGCACAACCTCCTGTTTGGCAACCGTGGTCCCTTCCCACATCCCTATAGCAAGTTGTGCTTTCCCAAGCCTAAATTATACCCTCATCTGTTTTTGGTGATGCTCACCAATTATTAAACCCTCTATGAGGAATATAAAATTATTAATACTCAGCAGACATGACATGCACACAGCCATGACTATTATGTCTCAGCCATAAGTGACACAGGAATGGGATCTGTGAACGACAGCAAGGGTAATTAGAGCTATCATCAGTTATTATCAGTGTTGTAATTTTAATTGCAATTGCACAAAAAGCTCCTTTGGAGTACAAGCAAGTTCTAATCGTATTGTTAAGCAATGTACTCTTGGAAAGGAGTATGTCTAATGATACTTGTCCTTGCACCATAGTACAAAGTGGGATGTAAGGGTTGTACCAAACCCAACTACTGAGATAACAGCTCTCAAAATTGAAGAGGAATTACATGGTCAAGAAACACTCTTGTGCTACTAGCCAGCTTCATTACCATCTGTGGAGATGGTGCAGGCCACCCTTTAATCAAACATAGCCAGGGCCAAACAAAACTTGGCACCTTGTCAAACAAACCAAACAAACCATGGAAGGGGTGGGCCCTTACCTGTGACTCCAGTGGTGTCTCCTTCAACACTAATGTCTTGACAACACATCCATGGACAGATACTTCAGAAACAGCTTTTCTGTATGAAATGCTGTGTACTAGGTCTTAGGGAGCTTGTGTGAAAAGTCTTGTATGGAGAAGAGAAACTGCTGCATCACTTGGCACTTGCTTCCAAGGAGAGACTTTTCTCCAGGGAGTCTGACTGATCTGTGCCGATGTTTTCCTGGGAAACCTGTCTGCCCTGGAACAGGAACCTGATGGCAATGCTGCCACACAGCTTTTGGGTCTTCCTTGTGGTGATGAGCTCCAGGGTGGCTGGAGAAAAGGTTTTTGAACTGCTTAACCCCAGATTGCAAGACTTAGGCAAGCTTATGAGTCTTTTTCTTTGGCATTTGAGCCATACCATGTAGAGGATATTCAGCAGAGTTTTATATTTCCTTAACTGTGTGATGAGCGTGCAGGTCCCAGTTTTGTCAAAGGAAAGGTGGTTTAGCTACCTGTTAGTATCTCTGTGCTTTCAGGAGTACTCAGAGCTTGCCCAAGGTTTTCACACCTGACTGTGCCTGTTTTTAAATCTCACAGGACTTTCCCTATTCGTGGATTCCAGATTTACGATGGGCCTGTCAGGATGTCAAAATGCACTTTCAAGAAGTTCACTCCGACTGTTGACAGATACTCAAGTGCCATCGGGTTCTTCATGAAAAACTCCTGGCAGATAAGCCCTCAGAATAATGTGTCACAGATCCTGATGGAGAAGAGTGTAAGTAAAAAAGCAGAAATATGTGCTGTTAGATGTGCAAGTTTCTGAGGATTTTAGAAGTGGTAAGAGGTCTACCCTAGAGCAGGGATTTCCATGTAGTGGTCCATGTTACCTTAGTGCATACCATCAGTTCATTTTGCAACACTTTTTTTTTAAATGAGGGTTATTTATAAGCTAGTAAAATGTATGTTATGCCTGGGCAGACATACATAAAATAATTTGCATTAGAGTAAGGTTTCACCTTGTGACCGCAAGAGCCAGAGCACCACTCTTAACTGGTGCAGCATTACCAGCTCACGTGCTGAGGACCTGCTGAGGACCTGGCCTCAGAGATTGAGAAGGGCACAACTGAGATGCCAGAAGACAGTAAGCTGCAGCACAATTCTTACACAGAAGTAGAAAATGCACTTAGATGGAAAAACATGACCCAGTTTCTGAGGTCAGCAGTGAAATTCCTGTTGAGCACAACAGGCATTTCCCTTGAGCAGTGAGAGCAGAACCAGCCCTATATCTCTGACTTGGTAGGAGCTGTAGGATGCTGACCAGTTCCAGTCCTTGTCCTGGATTCCTGCAGGGATCATGGCCCTGGGAAATTATGATAGATTCCACCTTTCGCTGAGGGATCATAAACTCTCCTTAGCTTTTTTCAAACAAGGTCCATACTTGTGACGATGTTCATGAATTGTAGTAAGTTTGGCTTGAAGTTTGGTTTTATTTTTAGGAAAATTTCCATTGCTGTAGGACTGACCAATATAACTCCCTGTGGTAAGCAGTTACTTTGTCGCCTCTCTGGTGCACACAGACCAACAGCAGAAGGGTATTTCATGAAAGGATGTCGTAGACTGCAGTCACTTGACTGCTCCTCTAAAGAAAACACAGTTCCTGTGCTTTTCAGTAAAGAAATCTTAGTTACTTTTGATCTTCAGGGAGCTTTGGAGCAAGAATAAGGGCTTAATTTGGTGCACGTTCTTTGTGTCCTCCCTTGGGGACATGGTTATAAGATGGTTATGGGGAGCATGAATGAGAAAATCAACCTGGAACCGGGGAGGGGAGCTTAGAGAAAAACGTATGATGAAATAGTTTGATCAGTGGAATGGAAGAGAGTGGAAATTTTCCACCTGTAATGGCCATAGAACTCTGTCCAACAGAATGGCTCTAGGCAGATGATATCTGTGAACATCATCAAAGGAATTATTACATCTTGAATGGCTGAAAGTGCATCTCTTTAATAGAGTTGCACCATTTGAAGCCAATAAGCCTGTTAAATATCCCAGCATTTTTTGTCTGAGAGGCAGTTTAGTACTTTCACCCCTTTAAGATCTGAGGTTTTCAGAGTAAAAATGGTCAGAAGACTTGCTGAATACTTCTGCAAAGCAAATTAGAATAGTAGACTGTCATCTTATTACAAAAAACTGGAATGACATTATCCCAATAATTTACTGTACGTACATTTCCAAGAAATACCTGTTTCTGAAGTTGGTATTTTGCCTACTTAAAAACCATTTATGATTGTAACCGCTTGCAGCTCAGCATTTACTTTTCACTTTGATTCTGTTTCATCTGGGTTGAACCCAGATGTGCTAAATCTGATTTTAGACTCGAAGGACCATGGTTAGTCTATTGTTTTGTTGCTAATTGCTATATAGGACAATATGTCTTTGACTAGTTAGGATAGAGCTTGTAGGCTGTTGTAATTAATTTTCTGTCTCCAGGCTTCATTTTATGACTTTTTAAAGTGTAGCTAAGTACTAATTCCCTAAAGGACAATCATTTTACTGTTGGTTTTTAGGAAGAAATTAAACATTACCCCCAGTTATGTAGGGATGACAAAACGATTAGTCATGCTGGAGGAATAATTGTATAATTAATCAGAGTAATCAGCAGACTGGTTAGACAATAAAATACTAAAGGCAGTCAGTTCTTGTTTAATTCCTGCATAAAAATAACGGTCAAGGAGAACAGAAGAACTAAACATTGAGCTCCACAGAAAACATTCTAGTTGCCTTTTCATTGACAATTCTAAATCTCACATATTAAGATATCTTTGCATTTATCAATAGCAACATTAGATCTCATTACTGTCAGTCAGTAGAACTTGGGAGAGCTCAAAGGAGGTAGCCCCAGGCCAGAACTGAGCCATGCCCAAACAGGACACTTGTGCATTATTTCTTAAGAAGACCTGACATATCTCATTTTAGTCATAAAATAGCAACCTATTTATTCTTCTGTCCTTTTGCTGCACAGCTCCTTTAGAGTGAGCTAAGGAGCAAGAGGTTGTATGTGACCTTTTGGTCTCCCATGAACAAGGCCACCTCAGCAGGTACAGAAGATTCACAAACTGCCCTATTCGCATCCATTGCTAATATTCTCTCTGGTTATTTTTTCCCTGCAGCCAGGAGCTTAGAGTGGATTCAGTCCTTTTCTGCTCCTGGCTGTGTCAACACTATGGTGTCTCTGAAATTACTTGTGCCAAAGAAATCCCAGCGGCCTGTGTTGGGTGGGTTTGTGGTCCCCGGAAGAGCTTGGAGGAGACAGCACTGTTTCCTGGCTATGGTCTAGCGATTCCCATGGGATTGCAGTCCTGCCTAGCTAAGAGATGTCCACTTCCTAATGTTGCCTTTACTATGTTTAGCCTGTGTGGCTTAGTGCTCGGTTTCTGCGTCAAAGCAGAAGTTTGCAAACAGTTCATGATAGGAAAAAGAAAAGTAGACACTCATTTAAAGGGCAAGCCTGTTATTCTCTTAAAAAGAGGGCAAAAAGAAGACCCAAACCTAACCCTAAAGAGACTCCTGACTGAAGGGAACTTGGCAGGGTGAGGACTTGCATTATTCCAGCAGAGTAAAAGCCATGCTAACAAGGGCAGAGTCCTTGGATAGTAAAATAGAGAAAGATTCACACTGGATAAAAGTTCCTTAACATGATACCAGTGTTAAAGTGATGTGGCTTTTTCTGGCAGCATGTGCCAACACTTGAATTTTAGAAGAAGTTGCAATTTATTGTGATGTTTTCCAGTACATTAGTAATTTTTAATATAGAAAGTGTTTTCCACTGCAGTCTTCAGGACTACACTGCAGGTGTGTTAGGTGTGCTGCCCTTGGACAGGTTGAGTTAGCATATTCCTAAGAGATTATGTACTCATAAAACCATCATCTCCCTGTCAGGCTTCAGACAGGTAATTCGAGTAACCTTTGTACCGTACCACTCCCAAGTAGTCCACACCTAATGAAAAATAGGTGTCTGAATAGTACTGTGGTAGCTAGACGTGACCTGTCTCTGCACCCTCTTGTAGCTCATTCCTGGCTCCACATGGACATACCTGATGAGCTGAGCCTTTGTTCATGTGCCTTCACTTAGAAAAAAATACATATTGCCATTGCTGTAGCTGCAAACTCAGTACACCTCTATGCCACAGTGTACTGCACTAAGGTAACCTTGAGACTTACGAAAGACCTGACACTGCTCATTAACACTAGCATTTTGTTTCTGATTTTCAGACTTTTTAGAGGAGAATGTTAGAGATCAGATTAGCTGTAGCACCAAAACTGTCTGCTGTTAGATGGAAACACGGAGTGTTAATCAAATACAAGCAGTACTAGCTGTGCTTTAGTTTATTTTGAACTACAGCTATGTTCTCTGCAGTGAAGTGCCTTTTTTCGTACTCATCTCCCAGCTTTGTGCATTGTCACAAAGTATTTATTATGGAGCTTTGAGCTGCAACACAGTGTTTAAATTTTAATTAATATCTCTTCTTTTATAAATCAAAATGAAATAAAAACCCCTCCCAAATTTGGCGATCTCTCTACTTTGCCAAATAGCCCCTTGGGCAAAAATTTACTGCGGTGCAGTAAGAAAAGGTTTTAAAATACTCAAAAATACACATTAAATTTCCAAGCATTTGAGCCTCCTTTAAATGAGACTGCTTCAGCTGTTTGTTTATGAGACTCAGACAAGAAGGTGACAGAAAAATGGTTCTAGGCTCTAATTTAATTTTAAGCAATAAAGACTTATATTCTGCAAGTAGTTGTTGCTGCAGTGGTCATTCTTCTTAAGCCAGTGGGACTTTCCATCTACCTCAGAATCACAATGACCCTCGTATTCTCCTAAGCTGTTCTGTTTATTATTGTTAAAATAAAGCCTTTAAAGCCCTTGGTAAACTTGCAGCCTAATCCTACTGACCCTAACTCTTACTCATTTGTACAGTCCAATTAAAATGAATTGGACTAAATGGAACAAATCAGAGTCTTTTGAGTCAGTGTGATCCAGTGGCTATTTATGCTGCCTGCTTTTACACACATTGCTGCAGGATGCAGAGTGCTTGACCTAGACTAATTTATTTCTTGATTATTTCTGAACTTAATCATCACACACTGTACTAATTTTATCTGCAGACATAAAATATTCCATGCTTTTTTGTGGAACATCTGCAGTTCCCTTGTTTTGCTGGATTTTGTATCAGGACAGATTCTTCTACTTAGCTACTGAAAAATCTTGATAAAGGAGATATGCATATTGGTGATAATGCTGCTTCCTGTTATTTGCTTTCCCTAAAAAAATAAATTCTTCAGGGAAAATATTAAAATGTGTACTAGAGCAAATTCTGAGAATTGCTGTCACTTTTGTGAGTTTTATAAGGTCTTAGGAGGAGCAATTAGAAAACAATAGCCCCCACAGTATCACTTAGAAAAATACACGAGAAAATATATGAAAAACACATGAGAAAATTCACCAAATATCTAGTAGTTCTTGTTTCAGTTGTGATAGTCCTCAGTAAGCTTCATGGCTTTATGTACCTTGCTACCCTTTGAGTCATCCCCTTCCTTTTGCCACTGCATGATTTATTGCTGTGTGATTTCAAGGAATACAGAGTTGTGTGGGTGCATTTCAAAGAATCAAAAGTCTCATTTTTGTAGAAATATCTCCTGGGGTTAAGAAATGAGGGGAAAGCCAATACAGTTGGAAATTTTTCTAAGTAGACAAGACAAAACAAAACTGTTTACTTTCTAGTTCTAGCTGTATTGCTGTTTTGGCTGTTAAAGCACTGCAAACCCAAGTCCTTACTTAGACCTAACCAGTTTCTTCTTATTTGCTCCTGCTAGGTTGGACTGAAAGTGTTTTTTGGCAGATCAGGCCAGTGGTTTGGAAACAATGACAATGATGGTGACAAAATGTCTATATTCCATGACCTGGACGGCTCGGTGACAGGGTATCCGGACACCTTCATAGGCAGAGCGGACAACTACTTGCTGCGTCATCCTGGGTGTCTTACTGTCCCACGCTGGAATGGGTTGATGTGTACTGGGAAATTCGCACAGGTAATGGAGGGTGTCTGCAGGCAGCATTGCTGTGCATGTAGGGTGGGTGTTCTTCAGGTAGTCTGCTGAGGGGCGATGGAGTGAAGCCTACTCAACACTCCATAAGGTAAGAGGTGAATAATAAATTTGGTATAAATTTACTCCTCTCAGTCTTATCTGCCTAATTCCAAGGACTCAGTAAAGCTCCTGCTCTGCAGCTGCCTAGAACCTGTGAATGTAAGGAGCCCTGTCTCTTCCCATTGCCACAAGCAGCTGCAAGTTGAAACTGAGTTGGGGAAAAGTGTTGTTTTCTAGTTCTTGCTTCGAGGCATTTGTCCGCTGTTGCGGGGCTCTAGTGGATAAGTCTGGTGAACCAAGTTTCAGTAATGGAAGGTTTTACTTCTCTGATACATCCCACTGTGTTCAGTATGGTGAAATGGGTGGTTGAGACACAAACTCACACTTATTTCCCATCCAGATGTCACTGGGTGAGGCACGGTCAGTCAACACCCTGGTAGAAAGGGCTGCAAATCCCAGGTAACCTCTAAGTAGAGAAAGAGAAAGGAAAAGAAAAGCAAAGAGAAAAAAAAAGAAAAGAGAAAAGAAAATAAAAGAGAGAAAAAGAAAAAGAAAGTAAAAAGAAAGGAAGAAAGAAAGATTCTCAAAATCAGATTGTGGTTCATTTTATGTTGCTCAAATCTCAACACAACCTTTGTGTGCGGATAGAACGTACTGTAAATATGTGACTCACCACAGCTTTCACGGCCACATGTAAAAGATTGCAGATGGCTGTCCTTGCTCCTCCACTTCCAAAGAATATTAACATATTTACTGAAAAGTTATCTAGGCCTATTTTAAAGCTGCAGTTAGACATCTTGCCAGGTCTCCTGTTTGTGTTGAGCAAGACAAAGATTAAGACTATGTGTGTTGGGCACATAGAGCACCATGTGGTTTGAGGTTGGAGAGTGAGTACTGGAAGCCTTCATGCAAGATGAGGCTTTAGGAAGGACCATTATTTTATTATGGTCCCTGAGAACAGCCCTGCACTATCAAACAAAGTCTGCAGTGGGGTGCACTGAGAAGTGTCATCACTTATGAAGTAATGTTAAAATAAGATCCAAGCTCATGAGATATAGCAGGTGTTATTTATTTATTTAATAGGGAGCTTGGGAGCATGCTGCAAGCTCTTGTCCCATTGAGGATCAGTAGACATGGAACTGACAGCAGCAGTGTGGCACAGGAAACTCTAATTGAAGTCATTGAAGACTGGGCAGAGTTAAAACTGCCTCGATCAGAGCAGGCTGTCAGGTTTCCCTTTCTAACATGCAGTTTTGTGAGCGTAGATTTTCCATATTGGGAGATTTCTGAAGGTGCTTCCTCTGTGGCTTCTCTGATGTATAATAATGTGTAGGCTTGCAGTTTGAGTAGTCAGACACAGCTCTGCTTTCTCCATGGAACTTTCTGCATGAAACTTTTGAGAATTCAATTGTCTTTGGGACCTCTATGCATACAAAGCATTTGCACAGTCAGATCCAGATAAGCGTATCTCTCTAAGCTAAACAAAATCATATGCATTTGCTTTAGTTGTACTGCAAAGAGCAGGAGTTGCCATCTAAGTGCCTAGACGCTGCACTTTAACAACCCCTGCTTTACTATTGACTGGGCAGAAATGGGATTGGGCTCCTATGAAACACTCCCATTGATTTAATTTTTTGTTCTTGGCACTTGATTTTGCTCTGTGTCTCTAGAGAAATGGCTCTCTCTGTTCTGGAAACTTAACAGTTAAGTTCAGAATTGTAAACAAGTAGGCATTTATATTTTTATTTCTATTAATACCCTCCTGGTTATGGCACTCTACATGGTGAAGCAGTTTTTCCACCATAGAAAATTTCCTTGGCTAGATTTAGGCAAGCATAAACATTTGCTTCTCTGGGATATATTACTTAGAGTTTTTCTACTAAGTAGCATGCAGCAGGATGAGTAAAGTTCATATTAAATGCTTTACTTTATGGGTTTTGGGTAAGGAAATGTATGCATGCGAATGGTAGAAGAAATTGGTCCTATGCAGCAGGGTTCATTTTAATGTGGAGGGTGTAATTGTTGGAGTGTTTCAGCTTAACCCTGATTCTCAGCCCCTTGACTAACTGGTGATTTGTTTGTGTGCTAAATTCTGAGTGTCATACTTCAGATCAAAAGCCTAAAGGAGTGAATTCAGTTGTGGAGAAAGATGGTTTGCTTTGATCTCAGTAACTCTATTACAAAATCTGTTTTCCTTTCCATGTAGCTGTGGTAGACAAGAACTTTTATTCTTCCCTAGCGCAAGCAGGTGAAAATATCCTTTCAGTTCAAGGAAACAGTGACTCCTATATTACTGCTGAAACCGAGCCTGAGATAGTCAGCCTAGGGATGGGCTACTTGGCATGGAGGCATGAGATCCAAGTCCTACAGCTAACATTACAGGCAAACCCTTTCTGAGTAAACTGCTTAGAGCTCAGTTAATTCCTTTCTGCTTGTTTTCTTGAATTCACTTTTCATGCTCTTCTTCTCCTGGATGTAATTTGCCCAGGAAAGGAAATGCCTGAGGAAACCCAGTTCCTCTGGCAGTGTCTCTAGCTCCACAATATCCTCTGGCAGTGTCTCTAGCTCCACAACCCCCTATCTGGGGACAGACTTTTCTGAGGGTGTTTTAATCTGGCAGCTCAGGTTGACATTCCTACCTCTCTGCAGTCGGTTGATGGCGCTTCCTCCTCCATGTCTCTAAGAAGCATCATGCCGCTTTTCCACATGGTGTCCAAGATCTTCCTTCAGCAAAGAGCACGAAGAAGTGCCTCCTGCTTCAGCTTCAGTGTTGCCCTTCACTACCAAAGAAGGATTCTTGGAGCAGCTCAAAATCATGAAATTTACACAGGCAAGAACTACCAGGTTTTTTACTCCTCCTCTTTTGATTCTGGAGCCTGCAGAGTTGGTGTTGTCCAAACAAGACCAACCCTTTTGCTTTTTAATGACAGCTGAAACTCTCATGTTGTAATGTAAATAAAGTGAGGCTTTAAGGAAGAACAGTAGAGGAAGTTGGCAGCACCACATCTGGCAATCTGTGTGAGTCACTCAGACCCTGTCAGCAGGGCACTGAGGTCCTCTGCGTTCCATGAACCTGACTTTCAGCTGCTGCAAAGGCCAATAATAAAAGAAAAATGCAGGAGAGGCTCATTCCATGTAGGTGGGTAAGATTTCCAAAGGCACTGAGATGGAGACTCCTCAACACCCACATTACTTGTTAAAATGTAAATGAGATTCCTAAACCATTTCTGATTTTTATCTAAATTGTAAGACAAGTGCCTTTGCTCCCACTGGGCAGTTGAAGCTGTGCACTTACTGCTTCCTTTGCAGACTTCACAGCAGCTCATCAGGAGAGGCTGTGAAACTTCTCTTTTTTGGTATTAGTCCTTATTAAAATAAGCAAAGCATTTGGCAGTATGTGCTGTTTTCTTTTACAAGCTTAAAAAGGTGTTAGACAGACATGAGACTACCACATAGATAAATTAGCATCAGTTTTGAATTAGCAAAAGATTGATGCCTTGCTATTTTAAAATACTTTAGGAAATTTCACCAGTTCAGTCACCTCCATACTGCAGGTGGCTGAAATGAAATTATTCCACTTCTCTTAACTCTGTTCTTGCAGCAAATGTTCGCAATTGCACTGATCCTGCATCTCCAAGTTATATATCTTCAGCTGGTATTGTGTACTCAGTGCCTCTGCAGCTGGTTTTGCTACTGATGCTTCTAAATGTAAAGCAAGCAAGAGATGCAGTTGGTAGTGAATGGTGCTTCTCTAACCACAGGCAAAACCATACAATCCCAGGGTATCTGCAATGCTTGAAGACTGTCAGCATCTCACAGAGTAGGAAGAAGGAAAAGCCTGCAAGATGTTTTTCATCTAATGGTGTCTGTATTTGGAGAAAGAGGTCCAATTTTGATCTCTGATGTACACCAGTGGAAAAACAAAGTAGTTTTGCTGATGTCGGTGACATCCTGTCATGTCCTAGCATGTGTTAGAGAAAGATAACTTTTTTTTTTTCTCTGAAAGAATTTTAAAGTCTTCTCTGGAAAGTTCATAGAGAAAATGCATTTTTCTGGGTGCTAGCCTTTTTTGAACAGTCAAACAACCAGAAGGGGCGAAAGCATGTTTTGAGCTTCTCATTTTTTAAGGTATTTTGCCACAGCTTGACAGCTGACAGCACAGTGGGACAAAAGCAATCTTGAAGAAACTACAAAACAAGCAGACCTCTTCTCAGAAAGCAACATTTTCTGTTCCAATACTTTGCATGTTGCTTATCTTCATACTCCAGTTGAATAGCAGATCCCCCATGAATTGTAAAAGAACTTATCTTCTCAGTTTCACAATCTACTTGGGAAAATTGCCATATAAGCACAGGAAATCTGACACATCTTTTTAACATGAAGTGTTAAGCAGCTAAAATGACAACTGTGTCCATTAAGCCACCCAGGAAAGTAGAAGGCTTGCATTTTATAACACTTTAACTAGCTTTTCTTCTCTTACTACATTAAGCTGTCACCACTTCTCATATTTTAAAGTATCTTCATGACCCACTTTCTTCTCTTAAATATTTTGATAGAGTTAACCAAAAATTATGGAGGTGTTGCTAAGGAATTTTTCATTGTAGAAAAAAAAATAATCTCTTTCTCTCCTTTTTATTCTTCACAAATATTTTGCCCCTGCAAAGGTGGATACAAGGAAGAAAAGTGATAGTATTCCGTGTTCAGTTCAAGTGAGTAAAGGTGTCGCAGATTAAAGGCTGAGGAAGAAAGAAGCTACACTGTAGTATCCCAAGAGAAGATAGAGCACTATTCTGAGGGTCTCTTCATGTACATATAGGCAATTACTACTGTAACCCCTTAGTGATAAACATTTGTCAAGATTCACCAGTTACACTACTGTATTTCTGTGGGACAGAAAATCACGTCCTGGAAGGCGTTCACTCTGTGGCCACTGTTGGTCATTGCAGGAGACAAAATCAGTTTACAGATATTTCTGTCAACACAAAGTGGCATTATTCCTTGTTCTGGGAATTACTGTTTCATGCTCAAAACAGCTACCACCATCATCCTTAACATCAGACCTATGACTTGGTCCCTAGGCCAAAGGAAAATGTTACCAAAACTCTCTGACATGCTTTCCTCGTCATCTTATTGAAGCATACTGCAAACTCTTTCAGCACTTTCTTGAAAACAATCATAGTGAGCAGCTTAGGCCATGCATAATACCCACTCTCTCTCTTTGTTAATTTACACAAATACCTTAAAGTCTAGAGAATTTTATTTTTCTTGGTAGTCTGTAATTTAGGAGCTTTTGGGGCTTATTGAGTGCATTTCCATCCTTTCTTGGTTTATTTTATCATTGCTGTATTTAATTTTGTAGTAAGTGCATACCAGCTACCACCTTAACATTCTGTGCTTGCTGGAAACACATGTTAGAAGGAAATCATGTCAAAGTTTACAGTGATAGGACAGAAACTCTTGCCTCTTATCAAGAAAGACACAGGTGGGCTATTATTTTGCAGTATCAGAGTTCATTTCAACCATTCTTTGTCAGAAAATGCTGTTTTGGTTGAGAACAATTAATACATTGATGGGATTTCAAGTCTGAAGGTATCTTACTGATCACCTGTTCTGACCTCAGCACTTACCATCCACGTGGGGATGAACGAGATTGAAATCTGGTTTATTGTATTGCATGTTACTGACTCTCCAATCATGGTTTGAATATAAACCGAAAATAGGTTTCCCTCCTTGGTTTCATAGATAAAAAAGGCCTTTTATCAGATTGTAAAAATTATTCTTCCTTTATTCATCAAGAATGAGCAAATGGCCTGCTGCTCAGAGACAGTTTGGAGTGAATTACTATCAATAGTTTTAGCCATCAGGAAAAATTCATTTAACGAAATTCTGGGATCCACTTTAATCTTCAGGGGTCTGCAAATACCACTCAGCATAGGCTCTCATCATTAAAATGCAATGATGTAAAAGGAAGAATGGACCTAATATCCCAGAAATATTTACAACCACTTTTGAATTACTTCTTTGACACGAGACCCAGATTTTTAACTTGAGCATTCAGCATGTGGCTGCTGAATTCAGGGGTGAGGTGAGGAGTAGGCAGAGGTGGCCTCTCTTTTAGAGGTCCTGAGGAGCTTACACTCGCCACCAAAAGCAGGCACAAGCACAGACCTTCTGGGCATGAAACTGGAACTGGGAGCTGAACTGGGTGCAAACCCCAACTAAAATAAGCTCATATATAAACCAGTGAGAAATAGTCTGAGTTTGCAGAGCTTTCAGTCTGCATAGACAAGAGGAAGAGAAGCAGATATGGAGATGTGAGGGGCCCAGGTTTCACAGCCCTGCATTAGAAGGTGGATATCCTGGTAGATGGAGTCTTGCCCTCTCTGCTAGTCTTGCCTGTGCTTGTATCTTTGCCTGGAGTATTAAAAACTGTTAAGAGATTACTGCTTGCATTTTGATCTGCCTCAAAGACAGAAACAGAGTTCAAAACAATTTTGCTGGATGGATGCTCATGTAGAAGCTTAGACATTTCTGAGCTAACATGGTTTTCTATGTTGGATGTTTTAAGTTCTTGATGCAGTGAGTGCTATTCCATACTGTGTGAGAGGGAAGAAAGCAGGATATAGGTGTCCTCACTTGTCATTGGTGCATTTGAGACCCTTTGGGGAATATAATAAGCTGTCCTCTGTAACCCAGTGTGCCAAGACAGATCCTTATGACTAGCTGTGCATCCTCCTTCTGCACTGGAATTTCACACAGGGGGAAGCAGGTGGACATCATGTGTTCAGCCTTAAAACTAGTGTTTGCCACTATGAATTTGCCTTCATTTGAGTGAGGACAGTAAAAGCATACAACTGAAGTGTAGTTTTGTAATTGGTGTGTAGAATTGAATTACAGGCCAAGGGCATCTCTTGGTCCCTGCACAGAGGAGCTCTCTTCTGAAGCCTGTGGAACATGGTATTTAGTCTAAAAGGTCATATAGTCAGGCCATCAAATTCTAGCCCCTGAAATTTCAGCCCAGACTGCTACTTGAGAGCAAAGATGTGGATTCCATTAAATAACTGGACCTAATCCAAAGCCCATTGAAATGGCTTAAGAGTTTTCTGTATTTTCAATGGAATAAGCCTTTTTTGAAAGTGCAATTGTTTTGAATTCATAAAAAAGTTAATTTGAGATACTTCCCTGATTACCTTTCTCCCTTAAGATTTTAAATAGTGAACATTTTTATGGCACTATCCAATTCATATCTCCCTTCACGGTATCCCCAAAAATGGCTGAAGATTCTATTTCTGGTTTACCTTTTTATTTGAACTGGAAATGTTTCAGTGACTTTCCAAATGTTCTGAGTTCTACATTGGCAAAAAACCGTTTACAGGCAAATGATGATCAAATGCACATGTTATGGCTGGGTCTGGCTTGTTTAATGGATATGTTTGTCATTTTCTTTTCACCCTTAGCTTTATATTCAGGCCAGACGCCCCGAGAATCTGACCTTATCCATTGCCAGAGCAGCATACCATTCCCATCCCTTGCGGTTGCAAGGCGTGAACAGAGGAGCACCATACCAGCAGTACCAGCCTGTCGTCATGCTTGAGCAGGCTTATATCATCCAGTGGGATGGCAAAGCACCCGAGGATATTATCCTGTACCCCATCAACTTCAACAGGTATGTTGTTAGCGAATATTCTATTTTCAGAAAGTCTGGAGCTTTAACAACAACTCAGGTTGTTCACAAGTTTGGCCTTTCAAATGTCAGCAATTTCTGAGAGTGTGGAAGCAAAGTGTTAATAGCTGGCACTTACTGATGCAATGAGATTCCTCTGCTTTCACTTTATTCCATTTTTTTTTTGATGTGCAGAGACACTTCTCTTTCCAGAAAATTTTGAAGCAGAATCCAACAAAGTCCTGGCCTGCTGTCCCTAAAATCCCTCCAGAAGAGCTCTGGCTCTTGTTCATTTGTTTGTACTAGTTGGTGCACACATAATTTATCTCCTGTATGTATGAAGTGCAGAAATACATCAGAATCTGCAGAGAACTTTGCATCTTCTGTAATCCAAATAGCACTGCAGTCACTGTTTCTTTTTACATAAAGTTATAAAATGTTAGGACTCAGTACAGACAAACTGAGGCTGTGCTGTATTTATTTCCCATGTTTTCTTGTAGTGTTATATAAAAGCAGAGTATATCCATTTCAGGTACTACTTTTCTCCCTTCCAATCTGTTTCATTTTGCACAATTTCATTTATGGTTTTTAGTACTATTCTTAGTTTAGTGAAATTACTTGTGCTTTGCCCTGGTACAACTGTTAGGGGGGAGTCCTACAGTCCAGGCAGCTTAGCAGTGACAGACAGTGCCATGGTTTGCACAGATGAGATGCTGCAAGAGATGAGCTCCACAAAAAATCTCTGCCATCACCTTGGGTTCTGCAGTTTATATCACTCCTCAGCTATTGATAAAAGCATAACATAATAAAAGGACAGAGATGTGCAAATGCAGACTCCCGTGATTACACACAACCCAACCACGCACAGGCTCAGATTTGCAAAGGAAAGGTTTCAGATAGTTGACATGAAAGAAGTCAGAGGCACTGAGGACATGAAGCAGCATGTACTGCTGGTAAATCTGGCGGGTTCCCAAGCCCATCCAGTATTATCCACCAAACCCCACACCCATCCGCTGCTGCTCCAGCAGAGCGTCACTGCTGTGGTTTTAGCTTAGGATAGCTTTGGCAAAAACTTGAGCTCTATTTGGTTCCCCTGAAATCTGGGGAAAAATACTGTCCTTAGTTATGAAAAATACTGTCCTTAGTTATGAAACCTCATAGGAATGTAGCTGAGAAGGGTAATTCTTCCTCTGTACACATGCCCATCATAGTCAGTGACATACACCTGGTCCTCTTGATTTAAAGATATAGTAGCTATGGGGCATGACCAAGTCACTGGAGGATCAGTGTTTGGACACTCCTGTCACAGAGGAATTATTAGAATTAAATCACTGTTTTTGGTATTGATATATCTTCGTGCACTTTAAGGAAGAGGAAACCCCATTAGTCTCTCACAGACAAGCTGAGCTTTGCAAGTATTATCTGTCTTAAAATAATTAACTATTTCCTGCTAAATGGAGAGCTAAGTCTTCTGCTGGGTAACTGTCACTGTGGCAGTTAATACTTGACAAAGCTTTGGCCCATGATCTTCAAACACAGATTCAAATCTGAAGGCAGCACTGGGTCTTTGGTAAAACTCATCTTGAAGTTAGGCTCTTGTTCAAGCAGCAACTTAACTGCATTTTGCTATTGAAAACCACAATGTGGTTGCGGTTCTTTTTGTCTTGTGTGAAACCAGTTATTTGAACAGGGCAAAGGTTTATAGATTTTTCTGATCCAGAAACATTTGGCAAGGTATATGTTTTGAAGAACTATAAACAAGAAATATACTGTAACAAAGGAAAACCACAGTTTAACTTAATTTCATTTAGATCATCTTGCTAAGAAATAATTAGGAATGAAATGTGTGGCTGCTCTGTGTACACCTCAAGTATGCTGGATGCTAGCTAATGCAAGACTTCAGGCTGATGCAATAGCAATAGTGAAATATCCAGACTATGCAAAAATATGGAGGAATGAGATGTCTGTGGAAGGGTAAAGGAATTGAGGTGAAAAATAGGATTTAGGAGTTTGAAGGAAAAGAGTGGCTGCTTAAGCAGTTCCACGTATGACCTTTATTAAACATTGTATTCCAGTCATTTCTGGAATGGAAGAAATCTCAGGTTATGGAGACCAGAGTAATCAGGGAAGACTTTTACCTGTCTCAAGTGGCTTTATGTTTTGTTTGTTCTTTTTTAATCCAAAACACTGAATAATCTGCCAAAAATTGAGCTCTTAACATAGCAACATCTGTGCAGAATATGTGACACAAATCAAAACATGTTAGATGAATTTTAATTGCAATATCCTAGGATTAATAATTTTAGGCATAACCTGAGTGAACAATTAAACTATTTTTAGTCTGGTTGTTGTAAAATGATGGATAGATGTATCTGGGATGCTGGCTTTCCAGCTAGACAGCCCTCATGCTTCTGGAGCAATTTGCTCTACACTGGCTAAAGGAAGGTCAGAGGGGAAATAAGGAATTTGACAGGGAGATGTGTACCAGGATTTGGATTTCTGTGGAGGTCAGGCATAGCACTGATGTTGAATACTTGCACAGTTAACACTTTCCCTGCGTCTGAAGCACTGTAGAAAGACCTAATAGAACTCATGCCAGTTCAGATGTCTACTAACAGACCGGAATGTTCAGATTCCTGGGGTGGGCAGGATGAATTCACATGACTCAGCTGAATTTGGCAGCGCTGCTTTCCTCAAGCTGTGAATCTTGTCCAGTGAATTCATAGGCACTGCCTGGATGGATTTACTCAGCAGAGGAGGACACCACTTGGAGCACTGTCACTGAGCAAATCTTTGTCATGGGCACCTGAAGCGTTGCTGCAGTACTTGTGTCTTCCTCTCACTGATTCAGACTGCTTTTAGAGTAATTATTCAGTTTCTTCACTTCCACCAAAATATGTACCTAAACCAAACTATGTCTCCATGCGCTGCCGTCTGCAGCCACGTGGTGCCAATGAGCTGTTTTAACGTACAACTTCCCTTCCAAGGAGGGATATACTTGTTTGCATTCGTCAGGGTAGCTGTGTTGCTAGCTGATTGATGGGCAATATAAAGCCATGGTGGAGACCCCCAGGCTGTGTTTTCAGGCTGCTGAGGAACAACATTCTGTCTCAGCAGAAATGCCTTTTTAAGCTATAGATAGGGTTGTCTGTCTAATGGCTGGGAGTTTCCCTGTGAGGATGGGTATTGATGCTTCTGGAAAGAGGTATCGCAGGACAAGTAATTTCTGAATGTTTTGGCAAGGGAAGAGAAGGAGAGCTCTGGCTGGAATTTTAATGATCAGGAATGAAGTGTGCTTAAGAACCAGTCCAGATCTGCTGAGGATTGCTCTCATCAGGCATAAAGTGTGTGCAAAACCTTCATAAATGGAGCCTTTGGACGCTTTCTCCATGGGCTTCATCTTTTTGTTGGAGCAGTTTCTGACCCTTCAGAGCTGTTTGTACGTTTTCTTGGTAGTTCCATTTTTTTTTCTTTCCTGCTTCACAGAAGGTGAGAAGTATCTGTAAGACTGAGTTAAGGGCTTTCCTCAAAATTACCCCCCTGAAGCACAAAGGCGTGCAGAGGGCATCAAGCTTGTTAAAAGACTGAGGAAAGGCTGGTAAGCCAGGAGGAAAGAATAGAAAACACTGTTTGATTGTGAAGTAAGTGCCTCCCTTTCAGGTGCTGGAAAAAGGTACAAAGATTGGCCCTTCATACAGTAAGCAAAGTCAGAAATGAAGTCCTTCAATTTAATGACAGGCTTTGTGCCTGTGCAAATTTTCTAATCACGAAAGAAGCTAAGGCAAATACTATTATCGCAGGCACAGTGCTGTTCAGTAAATCAGCTAGGCTTCTTTGTGCTATCAGCACATCTAAAGATAAGAATTAAATCTCCTCAAAGCACATATCTGGAGTATAGTGTAATAAGTTGTGTTGTTGAAGCAGCCTGAAAAGCGGTGGCAATTAGAATGAACATTCCTTGTTCTTAATGAGCACAGGCAAATATCTCTATACTTGGTTTGTTGAGCCTCAGAGGGAAGGGTTTTCCCTTATTAGGGCTCTCTGCTGCGGTTCGACAGAGAGAATTCAGGGAAATGTGAGCATCTAATAACATAAAGTGGGTATTTTTTTGTACATAGATCGCCTGAGTCCTGCAAGCAAGGGCTTTCCTTTGTACTGCACCTCTCCTGAGAGATGATGACTCCAAGGACCGTGCACGGCAGCATTCCCCAGACCCTCTGCATCCTCTTAGCTTCACCTGTAGGGGTTCAGTGAAGCTCATCATATTAATGTTCTTTGGTGTCCTGTTGCAGGATTTGGATCCTCATGGGACCCTTAGAAGATAAAATGGCAGGGGAAGGCCAAATTTCTTGCCAACAGGGAGCAAAAGGGCAGATGTCTCTGTGTGCTCAGGCATCTGTCCAGCCTTTCCCTGCCTTGGTGTTTGTGCAGGGATGGGCAGAGGTGCACAGCTCAGCTCCTGTATTTGCTAGGCCGGAGCTCTGCGCTAGAACTTGTCATATTCACCAGTGAATAATCTTCATTACCTGAAAATTCAAGTGCTTGGAATGAGCTTGTGTTTAGATTCTTCACTAGAATTCGTGGAGACTTTGGACACCGGGTGATAGGAAGCTTCCAGGATGCCACAGCCCATCCAAAAGTGGAGTTTTCAGTGCAAGCAAACTTACACAGCTCATGTGTGTACTGAAACTCTGGGGGACTCATTATATTTGTATTTGTCAGGGTTGTGTAGGTAGGTGTTTTTCCTACAGCTTCTCATTAAATGCCAGTCTGATTCATACTTTGAGCTACTTGACATTTTTGTGATTAAATTCCTTAGTGGTGATAAGGTATGGAGGAAAACAGATAACAAGACAAGGCTAGAATGTGCTTGTTGCAGGCTTGCCCAGTTTATGGATATTTCTTAAACTGTTTCTTTTTCAGATTAGTTCTAAATGAGCTTTTCCTCTTGCTTTCCAGATTGATAAATGCACAGGAAGGCAAAATTAGTGTTTCAAAGTGGA